AAAGATAAAAAAAAAAAATAAATAAAATAAACTTACATTCAATTGATTCAATAATAAAAAAAATTATAAAAATGAAAATAAAATAAATATCCGAAATTAAATGCTTTTAAATTAATAAATAAATGCTATCTTCTTGATTTAATATTATAAAGTTAAAAAGACAATTTTTTATTAGTATGCCAAGACTGAAAATATAAAAATTTCAAATAAATCGATTTATTGGTTAAAATAGTTTTATATGTTGTCTGAAGATGGAATTCAGATAACATGCAAAGAATATATATAAATTTTTTTACATGTACTTTTTAATTGAGAATATTTCTGCCATTGGAAAATCCCGGAAAATTTCTTCGCACAAATCAAAAAGGGATCGCTGATTTTTTTTTCCAAAAATGAATTTTATATCCGGATGATTGACCAATAAAATGCTACGCTGATCCGGTCAATTTAACTCAAACGGATAAACTTTCCAATTATTTTATGGAAAAAACGATATTTTGCATGCTGTTAACTTTTAATCTCTTATAAATAACGTCCCACTCTTTGGGCGCTTGTCGGAAAAAAAATAAATTCTTACGATGTCGCTCACATCACTCATTTCAACAACAAATTTGATCGTGATTATCCAACTATTAATAATAACATATGTGGCAAGATTCTATTACAAATACTTTACCCGTCAGTCGCCCCTTCCCGGTCCATTCCCGCTCCCGTTAGTTGGTAATTTATTTCAATTCGGATTAAATCCAGCAAAATACGCAATGGATCATCAACATGATTACGATAGCATGTTTGAAATTTGGATCGGAAGCAATCGATTTATTTTTCTTTCTCATCGCTCGTTAATCGAAAAGGTCTATGCTTCGAACGTAGATAATAATCATTTCTTTGCAAGACCTCAAATACCATATTTAGAAAAGCTTGGATTACAGCATGGTTTAATATTTAATAATAATTATCCGATCTGGAAACGAAATAGGAAATTCGTTGCACATTCATTAATGTCACCTAGATTCCTTAGACAATTCACTTTACTTGCACAATCATTATTTAATGAAAATGAAAGTTACTGGGATAAGAAAGAATATCACATTGATTTCGCTAAATGGATAAAACATTTTACAACCGATATCACCTTACGAACCACCACACGTAGGCCTTCATATTGTCTTAATGCATACTTGTTCGGTGAAGATCACGATCCCATCAAATCCGAGGAGACTAAAAAATCTGTTAAATTCAGTCAAGCGGTTCAAACTTTTTTAAAAGGTTTGATATTTGAACGATTCGTCCCTAATGTGTTTAAACATTACTTTCCAGGATTCTATAATTTGAATAAGATGTACGCAAAGAATATTGATTGGTTAAATGAGACCATTTCTGATATTGTCATGAAAAGAAGAATGGAAATTGAGAATAATGATGAGGTAGGCTCGGATTTGATAGATGTCCTATTGACGATAAACACACCACGTGATCCGAACGGATATGATGATAGTGAAACACCAATGAGTGATCCAGAAGTTCGTGCTACCATCTTGGAAGTCAGCATTGCCGGTATAGATACAGTAAGTAGATTGATATATCATCATCTTTAGGTAAAATCTTCCGTAAATAATTTTTCATCTAATTCTTTTATCATTAGACCGGAAATACATTCTGTTTCGTAGTTTGGCAATTAGCTCATCATCCTAATGTTGTTGCACGTTTCCGGGAAGAAATAAAAGAAATCCTAGGAGATGACACAACACGACAGATAATCTTTGAAGATTTAGAAAAATTCGCATACCTTGACGCTATTATTAAAGAATCTCAACGAGTCATTCCACTTGTACCATTTACGACACGTAAATCCATAGTGGACGTTGATATTGGAGGAAAGAGTTGGGGTTCTAATACATCTTTCTTTATTCATCATGAACAAATTCATAGATCGTCTGATTGTTGGAAAGATCCCGATCAATTTATTCCAGAAAGATTTTTAAAAGGATCTGATCATGAAATCACAAAGTATAGTTTCATTCCTTTCGGAGGTGGAATAAGAATTTGCCCGGGAAGAAATATGGCTATAGTAGAATTGAAAACTTTGTTAATTTTATTGTATAGAAAGTATGACATTGAATTGGTTGATAAGGTCTCGAAGAAACCAAAAACCGTATTTGTTGGATCCAATATTTGCACTGATTTGAAAGTCATTGCACGCCCTAGAAATTATAATAATATATAAAATATAAATTCATTACTTATAGTATTATTATCATTATTAAAAAAATCTTACTATTATATTTTGTTTATAATAAATAATAATAAATATCAAGAACTGAGCGTAACAATATCTAATCTTGTTCTTGAATGACGAAAAAAAAATCAACGAAATTGAAAACTGCAATAGGTTTACGTTGCTATGAATTTTAACAAGTGTTTTTATCCTCCAGATATGACAACATTTAGTTGTTTTCCATTAATATCTAAATTAAATTCTTCCTTTCTTTTTTGTAGGTTTTGAAAGGTTTTTATTAAATGAAGTTTTTGATTTTTCTTTTTGTTATTTGCTGCACCTCAACATTAGTTTAAAAGGTGACAACTCGCAAACGTGAGTAGTTACGCATCAGATTCACTAAAAAATAAACTATAAAAATGTGAGTATTTGCGCCATCATCGTCAAGAGTCACGAAGAACGTTCGCGGTCGTTTGTGTTGTGACTGTGAGCTTTCGATTCGTTGAATCGTGCATCCTATTTACCATTTAAACTTCCAGGGCGTGGAAGACATCGGAAATAGGGAAGAACGTTCACAGAAGGAACAAAAACACTCTCAGGAGCAAACTAATACGCCAAGAATTTATAAGTTTCTGCGATGTTTACGAAGGAAGTTTCATGTCATTACGAATCAGTTGACCTTCATCATAGAAACTCCCTTCAAGGTTTCTTCATTCCACTGGTCTGAAGGGTGCCCCACTCAACTGTGGCCACGATGAGCTTTCTATTCCCAGATTATTTTTACATTCATCAAATTAACGGGAGGAAATTTCTTTCATTATATCCTTTTGAAACTTTGTTTCATCTTATCATAACTAGTTATTACAACATGCAAATTTTAATATTGGTTTCATGAATCGTCAGGAAAAATTTCGTGTATTATTAATAAATTTTTGTCACTTGAAAATCATAAATTGCTATTTTTACTAAAAAAAATTATTTCGCAGGTCGATCTAGACAGGGGGCCCAACCATTATAATCTAGCTATCAAGTCGATCTAGACAGTAATCATAATCTCAACAAGCTATTTTATACAGTAAAGTAAACCAACTATCATAATTGCAAGACGATTTACCAATATAGGGCTAAAAATTGAATGCGTGAAAAATTATGGGATTCAAAGTAGTATAAATAGATCATCCAAAACTATGTCACGTTATTTAAGTCATGTTATTTCAATATTTGATTTATTTAAGTCACGTTTTTTCAATATTTGATTTATTCACGTAAAAAGATCTTTTTAAATCAGTGTTTATACCTTTTATAAATAAAAATTACACGGCAATAAAAAAAAAGTTAATACATGATAAACCACAACAGAAGTATCTTGGGGAAATTTTCTATTGAGACAAAAAATTTTTTAGTAAACGGCAACTGACGACTTTTGATGGTATTTTTAATATATATCGTTTCGACTTTTATCGATTTTACAGATATATATTACAGATTATTAGATATCTAATCTAGCTTCATATTCTTTAAAAACAGGTCCATTCTAATATATTTGACGATTCATTCATCCATTATTGTGAAAAAAAAACTTTGTGTTGTTAATTCATTTGTAGTTTCATCTTTTTTAATGTTTACCTTCGGATTCTTTCGTTCCGGGCAGCAGAGATAGAATGATTTTGTTTTGATTTATTTCAAAAAATTATTCATCCTTAAAAATTAAAATTAAGTTCGTCTTGCTTTGATCGTTTCAGGTCGTTTCAGGTATACACAGCACGTGTATTTTCTTTTTTAATTTTTTTTTTACTTTTGGGTTCGATCGGTTTGATCGCTGGTCGCAACGATCAAATATTTTATTTTTCGCCTCATGATTTATCATTCTTCTTTTTCTCAAGGTTTTCTTTCGCGTTTGATCACTTCGGAAGGAATTTTTTTAACGCTCCGTTATTATTTATTTTTTTTTCTCAGATATTATTAATATAAAGAAAAAATATTTTATAGCTAACCACTCATGCTGCGCAAAAAAATAGATTCGATTTATTTATTCGATTTTTGATTAATTCGATTATGGTAGAATCGATTCAAATATAATTGGTCATTGCGTTATGCTGGATGTTATTCAGCTACTATTTTCCATGAAGATCATGTCTCAAATTTGGCCAATAGATTTAGAAGTGCCAGAATTATGACTAGTATTCCAGTATCACTCAATTTTCCAAGATGTATTCAATTGTTCTTGATGGACATTAGTTTTATTTATGAATTATTTGGAGGTCAATATATTCTAGAGAAACGAACTGAATCCACCTTTATATGACGGTCCAGAACCTTGAAACATTGGAACCGATCGAAGGTAATTGTATAATTCGTTTAGTAATTTTTTTAAGTATTTATTTTTTAAAAAAAAATATTTCACATTAATATATATATCGATCCTGAATCTTGTTTGATAGAACTTTGATCAAAGGTAAGTCCTAATGGAAATACAGTATATATATATACTTTTTATTTTAAAAATAAAACTAATATTATAGAACCGGTCCGGAATCTATAAACGATAGAATCTGGGATCGGAGGTAAGTCTTAACAAAATTATTTGTTAATTTTTATAAAAAAAATTCTTACATTTACAACTTATCTTTGTAGAGCGGCAGATCTTTGAAATTTAATCGAGGTATGTTCTAATGGTTAATTTACGATTAAATTTGTATTTTTTATTAAAAACTAACATTAATACTAATAATACTACATACCTTTGTAAACTGATCTGGAACATTGAAACCTTGGAAATTTGGGTCGGAGATAAGTCCTAATAATTCGTTGGTTATTTTTTGTATTTTTATTTTCTAATAAAATAAACTATTTTTTATTTTAAAAAAAATTACATAACACTTTTAACATTATCTTATTAATAGATTTATAATTATCTTAGTTTTGTTACTTCTTCATATTGCTAAATTTTACCTTTAATAAAATCAATAATTGATATGGTGTAAATTCTAAAATTTTCGTATATTTATCATTTTTCAAGTGTTTTATAATTTTTTCATTTTCATATCATTATTATAATTGTTAAATATTTATTAAAATATTCTGAGAAATCTGCTTTTTGTCTAATCTACACAAAGCTTATTTTATCATTATATTAAAAAAAAAAAATAGGAGGTTTGCTATTAAAATTGAGTTACGAATATAGTAAAATCATATGATCTGTAACGTGATTTTAATAGCTTACCTCTCCCAAATACTCTTTCTTTGATATTACAAATTATATGTTTTCTATTTAACCAATTTCAAAGTTGAGATGAAATTAT